ATCACTTGGCCCCTGACACTCAGAAACAGAAGAGGAAATAATATCCCCTGAGTCACCAACCACATACTGGACAGTCCTTCCTGACCCGGGGAAGGCTGCTTTGAAGCCAGCTCACTGTGCCCTAATCATCACCCTGATTACTGAGTCAGCTTATGCTCTGGAAGCAAGCAAACCCAGCATCTCGAAGACTCAGGACAGAGACTTCTTTCTCACTCACGGAGCATGAGGGATGGGGCAGTGGAGAGGCCTCTGGGCTCAGCAGCCTTTGGCTTCAGGCAGAGGGGGAAGGTCAGGTCCCCACCTCCTGGGTTACACTCTGGGCCCAGGTGAAAGGAGTGGCCCCGACCAGACACGTCTCCTCCTGGAAAAGTGCACGGGAGCCCAAGGAGCTGACACCAGCCACGCAGGTCCCTCTGTGAACTCCTGCTCAGCTGTGCTCAGAGGCGGTGTGCTCACTCCCTTCCACTGGCCAAAGAGATCACACGACCAAGCCACAGGCAATGAGGAACCCTGGTAGGCCCCCAGATAATGGCAGGGACACGTCCTGTACCACCTTGAGGGGGCACAGCAGCAGGGGGTGGGCAGGGGAACCAGTCTGAAGCCAGAGACACTTCCCACAGCCATTCAGAACTGAAGCCCCAGAAAATGCTGGGCTGAGGGATGAGGGACGGCGGCTGGGTGGGGACACTGCATCCAGGTGTGTCCACAGGCACAGGCACAGCAGGTGCGCGTCTAGGTGAGGCTCTGGGGGTGTCAAGGGATGCACCGCCTTCACTGGAAGCCCGTGGCTGCAGGTCACACACTGCACTAGCTAGGGCTCTCCAGAGAAGCAGAACTGTTGGGAGACACGTGCATACATATGGGGATTAACTGTGCAGAGTGGCTCATGGGACTCAAGGGTCGTCCAGGAAAGCCAGGCTGGATTGACACTGAGACTGAACCCACCACAACCAGGAGAGCCCTGGTGTCATTCCCCGTCCAGGGGCAGAAGAGGAGATGAGAGGTCTCAGCTCTAGCAGTGAGGCAGGAAGAAGGGGTGAAGCCCTCCTTCCTCCACCTCTTGTCCTCTTCAGGCCCTGCAGGGGTGGGTGATGCTGGCACATTGCTGGGGGCACAGAGAGCACCACGTCCCCTACTCAAATGCTCCTCTCTCCCGCAAATGCCCTGGCAGACGCTCCCAGAGCGATGTGGAATCTGAGCCCTCCTTGGCCGCCTGCCCAGCTCCTCCTCTGTCCTGCCACAGGCCAGCACATCCGCCGGCGCCCGCGGGGCAGAGATGGTCTCTGTCTGGGGATAACCAGGACTTTTCATTCTAATGCCAGGTGTCTACTAGCAAGGTCAAGGCAGTGTGGCCAGCAGCTGTGGCTAATGCAATGTGAGCCTCAGCCCCTGCCTGAATAAGGACATGTTCTCAGGTTAACAGAGCCCTGACTGCTGTGGCAGGGATGAGGCCCCTCCCAGAGTCAGGGGGTGCTGGGCGTGGACCCCCCCTTTGGCACTTGCAGGACCTTCCCGGAATTGCTTCGTTTCTAGCAAGAGCCTGAGTGAGCTGCACACCAGGGAGCCCAGCCAGCTCCGGCCACTCTGCACACCTGCGCCGGTGCCTGCCCGGCGGGGCGGGTTTCAGAGTTCAGAACGCTGGCGTGAGAATGCACCCTTAAGGCAGGACGAATGCCACGGAGGAAGGAGGAGAAGGAAGTGTTTGGGTCTGACGAGGTCAGAGCCCCAGTCAGCAGCCGAAGCAGACATGTGGCGATTTGCTCTCTGCCCAAGACCCGGGGTCCCCAGGTGACACACTCCGGCTTCCCCCCAGCTGCCTCTGATGCACAGGCCTCCCGCTCGGGCAGGCGCAGCCCCTGGATCCCGTGAGTCTGCCTCCCATGGGGGCTCCAGGGCCCCCCACTTTGCCTCACTTGCCCAGACACCAGCAGGACAGGTGGATTTTAAGAGACGTAATACAGGCTGGGCGAGGTGACTCACGCCTGTAATCCTAGCACTCTGGGAGGCCAAGGTGGGTGGATCGTCAAGGTCAGGAGTTCGAAACCAGCCTGAGCAAGAGGGAGACCCTGTCTCTACTATAAATAGAAAGAAATTAATTGGCCAACTAAAAATGTATAGAAAAAATTAGTTGGGCATGGTGGTCCATGCCTGTAGTCCCAGCTACTCGGGAGGCTGAGGCACGAGGATGGCTTGAGCCTAGGAGTTTGAGGTTGCTGTGAGCTAGGCTGACGCCACAGCACTCTAGCACAGGCAACAGAGTGAGACTCTGTCTCAAAAATCAATCAATAAATAAAAATAAAAGACAAATACACCTGTACATGAAAGCTTATCAAAGATAAGCTCTAGGCCAGGTTTGGAGCTCATGCCTGTAATCCTAGCACTCTGGGAAACCAAGGTGAGCAGATTGCTCAAGGTCAGGAGTTCAAAACCAGCCTGAGCAAGAGCGAGACCCGGTCTGTACTAAAAATAGAAAGAAATTAATTGGCAAACTAAAAATATATAGAAAAAATTAGCCAGGCATGGTGGCACACGCCTCTAATCTAAGCTACTCCAGAGGCTGTGCAGAAGGATTGCATGAGCCCAGGGTTTAAGGTTGTTGTGAGCTAGGTTGATGCCACGGCACTGTAGCCCAGGTAACAGAGCAAGACTCTGTCTCAAAATAAAAATAAATAAAATAAAATAATAAAGATAAGCTCTGGAGTTCAGTGTGCCCAAGGTCAGGAAGCCAGACTGAGGCTTGACAGGGGGGCAGATGCCCACCCTCCAGAGGGTCTGGTGTTCTGCTGCTTAAGGAGGAAATAGCTTTATACCCAAGTTGAGATTTTCCCTTTCCCTTTCCTTCTCACACTGTTTATATAGTGTGTTTCCCCAAAAATAAGACAGGGTCTTATATTTATCTTTCCTCAAGAAGACACCCTAAGGCTTATTTTACGGGAATCTGTTATATTTTTTAAGTACTGTACAACAATCTACATTTATTCAAATATAATTAAGTCGTCTTCTGGAACATCATCCTAACTCTCCAAACCCCAAATTCCATCCTGAATTTTTTGCGATTCCATTTCCTTTAGAACCATTGGCCCCAATCTCTCATGTCAAGCAACAGAGCTCTCATGGGGCAGATGAGAAGGGCTGCTCATCTTGTTCACCGCTGTGTGTGGAAATGCATGGGTTGTGCAGATGTGCTGCGTGGCCACGCCCATCACTAGGTCTTATTTTCAGTGTAGGGCTTACATTGCACAAATGTTCGGAAATCCTGCTAGGGCTTATTTTCTGGGTAGGTCTTATTTTTGGGGAAAATGGGTAATACCTAAATACAAAATATAGTTTAACTGAGATTGAGATGACTATAATCTTTAAAAACGAGGTATTTTCCTTAATTGGAAAGGCTAATGATTTCCTGCACGAACACATGGAAACAGCGATGTTTGTCATTTAAAAATATTTTCATTTATAGTGTTTTTAGCATGTATTCCTGGGGTACAAGTCCAGTATGGCGGCATGGACATGTTGCACTGCGGAGAGGTCGGGCCGGCAGTGCACCCGTCCTGAGCAGTGCACGTCGTTCCCGCCTAGCAACTGTCCGTCATCCAACCCCCCAGCCCCTCCTCCCCACCTAGTAGTGTCTTGTTGTCTGCCTTTTTCTTTCCATCTGGTCACTTCTGTCTTGTAAATCTGGGTCCTCCTACGTTGGGTGCATTTGTATTTAGGGTTGTTAGATCCTCTTGCTGAACTGATGCCTTTATCATCACATAATGCCCTTGTTTGTTTTTCTTCTTTCTTTGTTTCTTTATTTCTTTCTTTCTTTTTTTACTGTTTTTGATGTAAACTCTGTTTCATCTGATATAAGTATAGCTACTCTTCCTTTTTGGTTTCTGTGTGCGTGGAATGTCTTTCTCCATCCCTTTACTTTCAGGCTGTGTTTTTACAGGTAAGGGGAGTTTCTTATAAGCTGCATGTAGTTGGAGGATCTTTTTGAGGCATTCTACCAGTCTACACTTTTAAATGGAGCATTTAACCCATTTACATTCAAGGTTAATATTGACATGTGAGTCCTTATTCGTGTCATATTGCTAATTGTTTTCTAGTTGTTTTATCAACCCTTTCTTTTTCTGTCTTTTTGTTTTTGTGCTTTGGTGAAATTCCATCATGTTGCCATTTGAGTCCTTTTCTTCCTCAGAGTGATTGTTGTCAACAGAAAAAAAGCCAAATTCTGTAAAATAATTTTAAAGGCATTTACTTTGAGCCAAATTTGAGGACCATGACCCTGAGCCACTCCCAAGATGCCTTGAGCAAGTGGACTCGCTGTGGCTGGGTTACAGTTTGGTTTTATA